CTTAGAAGCAGAGAGTAGAAGGTGGTTGCCAGTGGCTGGGGAGGTGAGGGAAATGTTGCTGAAAGGGTACTGCTCAGTTTCAGATATGAAGGATGTACCTTCTGGAGATTTGATGAAGATATAGCATGGTGATTATAGTTAAAAGTACTGTCTTGTGTGCTTGAAATTTGCTAAGAGAATAGATCTTAATTATTCTCACCAAGAAAAAAAAAGTAGCTATATAAGGTGATAGGTTAATTAGCTAGTTAGCTTGATTGTGGTAAACATTTCACAATGTATACATATATCAAAACACTCAATTTTCATTTGTCAACAATACCTCAATCAAGATGGGGGAAGAAAAGAAGTTATCAGCGCAGCTCCCAACCAAATGTGAATGCTCAATAAGTGGTATCTGTTACTTCCACTTGCCTGCTTGACTTTCCAAACCTTTTCCAGCCCCTTCTTGTTAGACTCTCTTCCTGATTCTGACTGCTTTAGGTGGGCTAAGTCCTTTTATTTGCTGCCAGGCTGGTCTTGACTTCCTTCCAGGATCTGCAATGACAATGTTCCCCAGGATCTGCCCCATCTCCGTGGACCCTATCTAATAATTCCAAATCCCAGCTCCTTCCAGTTTGACTGTTCAGCTAGTGTTAATCAGGATGGCAATTTTAATGCCTCACCACAGCCCAGGAATGAACATTCATCCCACCAGTACTGATCAAGTGTCGACTTTGTGGCAGGCACAGTCCTGGCTTCAGGAGTCCATGGATTACTGTGGAGGGGCAGACAAGCAGACAAACAGTGACAGTTCTGTGGGGGTACTAGGATGTATGAAGTCCTTGAGCACAAAGTGAGGCCATTAATCTGGACCAGAGATCAGGAAAGGCTCCCTGGAGGAAATGACTTTGAAAGTGAGACTTGAGGGATGAGCTGGAGTAGGTCAAGAAAAGAAGGAGCTGGGCAGAGAAACCAGCTTGTCCAAAGGCCTAAGATGAATTGAAATGAACTCACTGTGGCTAAAAATGGTAGTAACCAGGGGAAATATGACAATAGGAGAGTCTGGAAGGCCAGTGACAGCTGGCCACGAAGGACCTTACAAACTAAGTTAAGGGAGTTTGGATTTTAACCTGCAGGCACCAAATAGCCATTAATGTGTTTTAAGGTGGTAGTGGGGCGGGGGGCAGAGTGACGTTATCCTATCAATTCTGTTTCCCTGGATGTCGGAGCCAGTTGACAATCGATCAGGTCCAGAAACCTGTGCCGCAGGACTGAGAAAAGAAAGACAAGACTAGAAGGTGGGGTTGAGAGGGTCTCACTCTAGCCCACAAGACGCTAAGCCAAGAGTGGACCTCGAGTTTATTTCAGGCAGTTAATTTATACAAATTCAAGTGACTACCTTGTGCATTCTTGCACGTAGGCACAGGTATTGTTTTATGGTTTAAACACAGTGTGTACTAAACTCATTAACTTGTGCATTGTTCTATAGATCAATGTTGTTTATAATACTCATAAACTAGGGTATATGTTCCCACATACCAAGATCACTAACTAAGGTTATTGTTTCTATAAACTAAGATCACTAACTTGTACGCTGATTGTATCTCTCTGTTCAAAGATCATCAGTAGCTTAATGGCTCAGGATGTTCCTAGGGCTTTTAGATCACCTGGTGCATTCTTTCCTGAAAAGGGGTGGCGGGACAGAGATTGTCTTTGTTAGATCAACCTCAGAGCCTGACGCCAGCACTTTGGGATTTATTGTCCTGTTCTGTGCTCGGCAGTCCTCAGGTCATGAGTGGCTCCCCGCACCTGGAGAACTCTGACTAACAGGTATAGCCATGCTTTGAATATATCAGTTTGCAAAACTCCCTTTTTCCTCCTGTTGTTGCTTTTTATTGTGAGCACGTTGCTTAAACTGTTTCAGTTCTCTTAAGTTTATGTCTCTAGACTGTGAGATCCTTGGGGTCAGGGACTGTAACATTTTAACCTTTGTGTTCTCAGAGGCTGCACTGTCCAGTACAGTAGCCACTAGCTAAATGTGGCTGTTGGGTGCTTGAAATGTGTCTAGTGCAACTGAGAAACTGAATTTTTTTGGGGGTGGAGGAGGTAATTAGGTTAAAAATTTTGTTTGCTTGATTTTTGGGGGGGTGGGGTGGGGGAGATAATTAGGTTTATTTATTTAATAGAGTTACTGGGGATTGAACCCAGGACCTTGTGCATGCTAGTCAAGCAATCTACCACTAGGCTAAACACCCCCAAATTTTAATTTAATTTAAAACTAAACTAAACTAAATTAATTGTTCTGTAATTAAAATTCCAAAGTAATTTAATGAGGGAAAAAGCCTTTTCAACAAATGATGCTGGCTATTCACATGTAAAAAGATAAATTTACCTTTATCTCATTCCATATACAAAAATAATTTAAAATGAGCTATAAACTCTCATTCATTGCTGGTGGGGATATAGAATGGTGCATCCTCTTTGAAAAAGTCTAGTAGTTCATCAAATGGTTAAAATCAAGTTATCATATGACCTAGCAACTCCACACCTAGGTATAAATCCAAGGGAAAAAAAAAACACATGTTTCCACACAAAGCTGTATACAAATGTTCATAGCGGCACTAGTCACAACAGACAAAAAGTGAAAACACCCAAATGCCCATCAACTGATGAATGGATGAATAAAATGTGGTATACCTATACAATGAAATACTATTCAGCAACAAAAAGGAATTAAGTACCAATACATGTTACAACATGTAGGAATCTTGAAAACATTATGCTAAGTGAAAGCAGCCAGTCACAAAAGACCACATATTGTGTGATTCTGTTTTTATGAAAAGTCCAGAATAGGCAAATCTCTAGGAATACAAAGACTGACAGTTGCCTAGGGCTGGGGGTGGGCATGGGGTTTGGAGGGAAAGGGGAGGATAACTACCAACAGATACTTTTTTAGGGGGTGATAAAGCTGTTCTAAAATTATGATATTTGCACATCTCAAAGAATATACTAAAAATCATTGAATTATATCCTTTAAATGGATGAATTGGTATGGTATGTGTATTAAATCTCAATAAAGCTGTTAAAAAATTGGTCAGTATAGATTCTTGGGGCCTCTGGCATCTTTCCACATATCCATGAGGTCAAAACCATTTTCATAATAATAATAATGAGATGTTAATTGTGTTTTGTTCACTCTCTTTCTGTCACAAGTATACAGTGAAATTTTTCTGTAGGCTACATGATATGTCATATCATGGTAGACTGAACGTAGAAACAGATATGGAAATCTAGCCCTCTTTTATAAAGCCAGATATTAAAGAGATTTATAGAAATGTAAAATACTGTTCTCTTCATTAATTTTGGAGGAAATTTTTAAATAAACATGCATTTTAATATGTAATGGATTTGTTATTTTTTAAATGAATTAATATTTTAAATTTCTCAAAAAAAGTTGCTCAGTTTATATGTGCAAATGTTATGATATGATTGCCAGTTATAGAACTGTTGAAATAGAAAACAATAAATTTTGATCTGGTTTTCTTTGCCAATACTTATTGATTGAGTTCTGGAAGAGTTCTACAAAGATTTAGTGTACTATTATCACCAAGATTTTCTTGTAACAAAAGGAATCGGTAAGTATTCAATAATCAAAAACAAGGCAGGGTAATTTGTTTTGTCACTGATTTCATAATGCTTATGACAGATTAAATTTCAAATTCCAAGTAAAGGAGAGGCTTATAGTTAGGTCACAGACCTAACTAGACAAGCATGAGAATTTGTTGAAATGGAAATTTTTCATAATACAAATCCTGATAAACGGTACAAAAACTATTGGTTAATTGAGTAGGCTGTCAAGGCACCCTGAATTTCTACGCTGGGCCTGAAGCAGCAAATAAATGCCAGATGTAGAGGCAAGGAAACTGGGTACCTAGCCCCTGCTTTCTTCCTGCGTCCAGCAAGATTGAGAAGCTAGGATTTTCCCACCCTGATTGCCGAAATACCGAATTTACTCCTTGTTTAATTCCAGAAGACAGCTCCAAATCAGGAAATCTGACTTCTAGTCCTCGGTCAGCCCGGTAGTTGGAGGTAAAATTTAAGGCCATATTTGCAATGCTAATTTCCCTTGCAATGCTAATTTCCCAAGTCAGACAACAGGAACAATTAATTCCTGTACAACTGACTTTAGCAGCCTGTGAGCAGAAGTGAGCTGGTATATTTGAAAGTAGAAAAGATGAGGCAGAGCATAATGAAATAATATGCGCAGGCTGGGTTTGAACGAAGTTCTGCAGGGGCAAGTCACGTAAATCTGAACTGGCTGCTTCTTTCGTTAAACGTCCTCCCCTTCATGTCCCCAAACTCCTAGTGGTAGGAGTGTCCCGGAGGCAAGCGGAGAGGGGGGAAGGAATGTCATTCCGCAGCGCCCGCAGGTGCGCACGATGCGGTGAGGGTCCTTACTGCCCATGTATAAACTCTGGCTTTGGGTTTCTCTGGCCCAAATTTTATTTATAGATGAAAAAAGCTCAGAGATCGAATGACTTCTTTACAATCACACAAGGGCCCTGAGGTCTGTGAGGAATCTAGCGTGGCCTGCGTTGGAACAACAGCCAGCAATGGCGGTTCCATAACGTGACCACCTTCCCAAAACGAAGCTGAGGCCCGTCACCTAGCGGTGAGTTCCGGCAACGCAAGGGAAGCGTCGTGAAAAAGGCTCCGGGTACTGCGGCATCCAGGCGCCAATACGCTCTCAGTTCACTCAGCTAACTCCTTTTTCCCATTGGGGCTTTCTAACTGTCAATCAATCAATTGCCCAGTTTTCATTGGCTTAGCTCCAATCATTTCTTCTCAATCTACTAATCACATGCTTCTTTCCAAGCGCATCTTTACGTCGTTAAAGCTCCTCCTAAGTCTGACGAATTTAGACTGTTCTTCTATTCCATTGGCTGGACCTGGCCCCTCCTCTCGTACATCCTGTTCGGGGCGGAAATGAGAGAGCCCTTATTCCTATTGGCTTAGGTTTGCAAGCGGCTGCGGTCTCTCAAGCCTATCAAGACTAGCTTTCAGGAAGTACGTATCCGGAAGGGGCGGGCTTTGTGAAGATGGCGGCGCCGGTAAGTGCAGTGTGTTTGCTTCCTTGGCTTGCTATTGTGGATGTTTCTTTTCTCCTCAGTGGCTCCAGGCAGATTATTGGCGTGAGGAAAGGGTGGCTATGAAAGTAGCTCCAGGGAGGCGTCCTCCCTGCCACAGCGGGGCAAAAGCAGTAGTAGGGAGATGGGACTGGAATTAAGCCGCTTCTTTCCAGTAAACCAGAGGGGCTGGCCGGCTGTGAGGCGAGGCTGCAGGTGCACCGGAGTGGGAAGGCCGGAAGTGTGGGTTGTCTGAAGGAGACGGTCCGGTTTATAATCCTGAGGAAAGAATGTTTTTTCTGTACTCTTCCTCCCATAGGAGGTGTTGGAGTCAGACCTGCCAAATGCCGTGGCCCTTTTGAAAAATCTGCAGGAGCAGGTAAGTAATGGCACCCCTTTGGAATAGATTAGTCACGGCTCAGCTTTGACTTTGTGTACCTCACCTCTAAACTTTGGCGATTTGGGGGTATATATTTGAATGACCAAATACCATGAGAGCAAAATGACTTAATGAAAACCTTTTCAGGCTACAATACAAAGTAATTGATTTCTGCATCCAAAGGATACGGAAGACTCCAGAAAGAAAGCATCTGAGTCAATTTCCTTTATTCTTATAGCTAAGGAAACGGGTGGTGGGAAAGGTGGTATGACTTGCCCTTTGGATGCTAATATATGTTTATATAGTTGTGTGCATTCCAAGTTCGACCATTACAAAGCTACAGTGCTCTCATCATCTTTGTCCCGGTTCCTATCCCTTTCCCGTGGTTTGGTAAGATGGTTTCTTTAGCTTAAAGAAGAAGTGGAAAATTTTTTCTACCTTTTGAAGAAGTTTCAGAAACATCTCTCCTATACTTTCCCAGAACTGGAAAGAAGATAAAGATATACTTTAGGCAGTGTTTCAGATAATTTTTAGGTAAAATTGTTTAGCTTTTGCCCTTTGGAGCTCACAAAGATGACTTGATGTATCCTAGTCAGTGGTTTTATTTGGATTAATTTCAGGTGATGGCTGTCACCACACAAGTGCAAGCTCTGACCAAAAAAGTTCAAGCTAAAGCCTATCCTACAGAGAAGGTAAGACATACTTGAAGGGTAGGCATCCCCTGACTTGATGTTCTCAAAAGTTTTTCATATATTTATTAAGCGTCTTGTATGTCCTGAATGCTCCAGTTTCTGTGCTGAAGTCCAGTAGAGAAAACAAGTGAAAGCAATAAGTTTAAGCGGTAGCAGTCATGATGGGTCATGAGCAGCTGTGCAAGCTGAGGAGCAAGATTAAATAATCAGAGAAGTAAGGGAAGTCAGGGAAGGCTTCTTAGAGGAGGTAACAGGATTGTGAGGTATAAATAAGAGTCAGAGAGACAGAAAAAACATGTGCAAAGGCACAGAGACCTGAAAGCGTGGTGGTATTCTGGGAAAGGAGGTAAGTTGTTTAGTGTGATTGGGTGCACATTTGAGGGGGAGGCGGCTGGTAGGAAATCTAAAATGCTGTTAATTGAGGACATACTGTTTATTTTACATACTAAGAAAAAAAATGCTACTTGTTAATCTGTGACATAAATGCTAAGATACCATTGATTTAGAGATGTATCCTGACTTTAGAGATGTTAAAATAGGAAAATGATATGTATCTTAAAATTAAATATGGTAGTTTTCAAATTAAGGTCTTGTAGAACCTTCTCAGGGATCACTGGGTGTGGGGCAGTATAGAAGGTGTCTGAATCCTTCATACTTGCCTGAACTGGAAAACTTAGGTGTTACCTGTTTTTTATATTAACCTTGTGTCTTAAGGTATTATTTAAGCAAAACATTCCATAGGTCAACAGAAGTATGAAATTTATTATAGCAGATTAATAAAAATCATTGAAGGATTTTTAAGCATGAGGTTTACAGCAAAATTGTGCTTTAGAAAGATAGCTAAAGAATTTTTAATATATCCTTTTTTTTCTTTCTCATCATTTTTCTATCTTTTCCTTTTTCATCCTCCTTTGTCTTTCTCTCATACATCTGTAATCCATTTTAACCTTAACAATGCCCGAGCATGTCAAAAGAGCCTATTTCTCAAATTCTTGGCCGTCTTTATTCTGGATATCATGCTTTTATCCATTTTAATGCGTTTTTGAGATGGGCTGCCCACATGTATCTTAGATCACTGTATATTTATTCATTAAACAGATATTTATTAACTTGCAGGATCAAAAACTTTCAGTAGGTTCTCTACAGGTTGCAGAGTGTTTTCACATTATCTTATTTGAGCCTCGTAATGAAAAGTTTGGAGACAGGAAGGAAATACTGTACATATTATAGATGAGGAGACTCAGGTCATAATTTACCCCATATTCGACTACTAAGTGCCTAATTCAAAAGTTAAACTCAGTTTGTCTGTCTTTAAATCCTTTGCTCATCCACCTGTACCACACGAGTGTTGACCTCAAGAGCTTAGCATGTTGGTTTAAAGATACCCAGGGCTTGGGTGTTGGAGTCAGACTAAAAGTTTGAATCCCAGCTCTACTCCTATTACTGTGTAGTCTTAGGCAGAGTATTTAACCTGTCTGAAATAGGTCTTCTGAGGGCTGTGGACTTTATTAGTTTTGTTTTATGCAGTCATGGTGACTTTTTTTTAATAACTGTAACTTAAGTCTGCTTACGCTCATTACTTTCTTTTATTTAAAAGCATAAACTTATATAACATTTGCTTGATTTTATGACTGTAAGTATAATTCACTTTTAATTTGAGGAAGTTTGGAAGATACATAAAATCACAAAGAAGAGAATTAAAAACCAATATAATCATCATTCTGAGATAAGTACTGGGGTGTATTTTTTTTAATTTCTTTTATTATAAGTACATATTTTCAACATAGATGGAAATTATCATCATAGATTATCGTACTAAGAGATTATCATACTAAGTAAGTCAAACAAATATATGATATTACTTATATGTGGAACCAAAAAAAAAGATGCAAAGGGACTTATTTACAAAACAGAAATAGACTTACAGATATAGAATACAAACTTAGGGTTACCAAAGGGGAAAGTAAGGGCAGGGAAGGATAAATTAGGAGTCTGGGATTAACAGATACACACTACTTTATATATAAAGTAGATAAACAATAAGGACCTACTCTGTAGCACAGAGAACTATATTCAGTATCTTGTAATGACCAAATGGAAAAGAATCTGAAAAAGACTATACATACACACATATATGTATATATAAACTGAATCATTTTGCTGTACACCAGAAACTACCACAAATATTATAAATCAACTGTACGTCAATTAAAAAAAAGTAATTGTGCTTGATGGAAAACCACTCTTCAGTATAAGCACTCTGTTTCTTCCATTTCCTCATCTCAGTCCCAAGGGGTAGCAGTTGTTAATTGCATTATCTTCCAGGCATTTTCATACATATATATATAAATGTGTGTATCATACTCCTTCTCTTAATTAGAACCACGTTATTCACACCCTCTACATAGTGTAAAAAGTGTGTTGAGAGAGAATTAAGTCCGTGTCAATTTGTATAGATCATTGTTTTCACCTGTATCATATAAGTATTGTAAGGGAATAAAATCAGTAATTGTTTCGGTTAAATTGAGTTTCAGTGCTGTATGGAGATATTTTTGATTGTCACAACTTGGGGGATGGCATCAGAAGGTAGAGGCCAGGGACGTTGCTGCACGTCCTCTGGTGCCCAGACAGCATTCCACAATAAAGAATTCTCTGTCCCCGGATGTCAGTATCTCTGAGTTTGATAAACCCTGCTGTAGTCATTTTGGGGGATACTTCACTCATTTTCCTGCTCTTACTGTCTTCTGGTGATTCTCTGAGCTTTGTTTCTTTCATGTTAGTATAATTTTCTCTGTGGCCATTTTAGGTACAGTCACTTCCTTGAGACTACTCCAAATACCTTATATGAACTGACTGGGAAAAACTTGACTTGGAAAAAATTATTTTGTTTGCTCTAGGCTTTCCTTATTCTCTGGTTAAAACTGAATTTGCATCTCTTACTGTTTGTTTCACCTCAGGGTCTCAGCCTTTTGGAAGTGAAAGATCAGTTGTTGCTCATGTACCTGATGGATCTGAGTCATCTCATCCTGGACAAATCCTCAGGAAGGTCTCTTCAGGGACATGCTGCAGTTTTGAGACTGGTGGAGATTCGCACGGTATGAAGCATTTGGCATCTTAGAGTTCCAGGTTTCTAAATTCTGAACTCCAGGGTTGTCACACATTAACTCTCATTTAAGTGGGTGTTCTCATGTTTAAGGAAACCAAATGGAAAAAAAAATTGTCTTTATGTGCTCTACTTTGTGTATATTTTAGTTGCTTTATCTGGAAGCTTAATAGTGGGACTTTGGTGTGTGCTTAATTGTGGGGAGGAAATGTAATCCTGTTAACCACTTACAGGTTTTGGAAAAGCTTCGTCCTTTGGACCAAAAACTGAAGTATCAAATTGACAAACTGGTCAAGACTGCAGTGACAGGCAGCCTCAGTAAGTGGGGGAAGCTATGAGGTGATGTGGGGACCATTCATGAAGTTCCAAATCTTGTAAAATTCCTTGGGTCTTTTATTTTAGGTGAGAATGATCCACTCCATTTTAAGCCTCATCCCAGCAACATGATGAGCAAGGTAAGAGGTTGTATTATCCCGATTTTCCTGAGGAGTCGAAGCCTGAATGAGCCTTGTGCTGATCCTGGATCGCCTGGGGTTCTCTTGTTTCTGTTGATTCCCAGCTTGTGCCTTAGCATCTCGAGTATGAGATTTTCCTTCCTCCCTTTTGTTCATATTCCCACCTCTCCAGGATGTTCCAGCTTTGGTTTTTCTTATGACTTATTTGACTAACACTTCCTGAGTTTGTGGACATTACATTCCTTTTGTAGTTGAGCTCTGAGGATGAGGAAGAAGATGAAGCAGAGGAAGGCCAGTCTGGGGCCTCAGGGAAGAAATCTGGAAAAGGGACAGCTAAGAAATACGTTCCTCCACGCTTGGTTCCAGTGCATTATGGTATGAACCTGGGCTGCTGCCCCTCAGTGTGAATTGTGTGTCTCTTCTCTATTCTGGGATAACCCTTGCAGATTTTTATCCACAGATGAAACAGAAGCTGAGCGGGAGAAGAAGCGCCTAGAACGAGCCAAGAGACGGGCATTGAGCAGCTCTGTCATCCGGGAACTAAAGGAGCAGTACTCAGATGCTCCAGAGGAAATCCGTGATGCTCGGCACCCTCACGTTACTCGCCAGAGCCAGGAGGATCAACACAGGTTTGAGTCCTTGCAGTTAGAAATTGTTAGCCATGCTATAGAGACCTGGCCTTTTGCTTTGAGTCAATATGATTAAGTCTGCCAAGAGAATCCACATTATCTAGAAAGTGGAGTGCAAAACTCGAGGTGACAGTTTCTAAGAATTAGGGGTTTGAAGTACAGAGTAGGAACTGGAGGGACAGTGTTTTTTTTTCCCCCAACTGTTCAGGCTGAGCAAATGCTACATGGAGAGGAATATATGCAGTTTCACCTAGTAGGGCTTTACAACTGTGTATTTCGCTATCACAGCTCTTAATTTTGTGCAGAAGGCAAGAATGTCAGGGGTTTTGGTGGTGGTTTTTTTTTTAAGGGGGGAGGTAATTAGGTTTATTTATTTATTTTAATGGAGATACTGGAGATTGAACCCAGGACCTCTAGCATGCTAAGCAGGCACTCTACCCCTGAGCTACACCCACCCCGTCAAGAACATCAGGTTTGTTTGTTTGTTTTTGTTTTTGTTTTTTATTTGATGATGATGATACCATGACATTCTTGAGAACTGTCTGAACCAGGGCTGAATAAACCCCTGGACCCAGGTTCTTGGCTGCAGCTTTCTGCCTCTATGTACTGAGCATGCTAGAAATAGTGTCTGTATTTCTTTGGCAGGATTAACTATGAGGAGAGCATGATGGTGCGCTTAAGTGTCAGTAAACGGGAGAAAGGACGACGAAAACGAGCAAATATCATGAGCTCCCAGCTTCATTCCCTCACGCACTTCAGTGACATTAGTGCTTTGACAGGAGGAACCCCTCATCTTGACGAGGTGAGGTTGTGATACAGTGGTGGGAGGTGACCTTCATGCTTTCAGCTAAATGGATGTGGGGCTTATTACCATGAGGAACTTGGGAAGGTACACTGCCACTTGGAAGGCTCCTGCCATTCCTTCATTTCTCCATGTGTCTTCAGGATCAGAATCCTTCTAAGAAGCGGAAGAAGATACCTAAGAAAGGTCGGAAGAAGAAAGGTCAGTCAGTGGTTTGGGTGATCAAGTGCAGGATGGGGTTTAAGAATTGGGATGCCAGCTTTGGATTTGCCATCCTGGGTCTTACCATTCCCTATAGTATCTCTTCCATACTGGGCATTAATCTCTTTAGTGGTGGGCCTTTATTTTTTTCTTTGCCAAGCTGAGAATCAGCATCATTCACAAAAGAGATTCCTGGATTCTGTCTCTTAAGGTCTCACAACTCCTGTTCAGTCTTCCTTAAACTATCAAAATGTCACTAGAAGGAAACATCGCATTTCAGTTTCGTTCCTCCTGTTTGTCTTTTGTCCTGGGAGGATGTAGAGTATTGGCAAGGGTTCCCACTCCTGTTGAGCCCTTCTCTCTAGATGTCCTTTTTTTCCTCTCCCTTCAGGCTTTTCTGACTGTCCTTTGCCTCATTTTTGGTTTCCTTTCCTTTCAGGTTTTCGGAGGCGGCGGTGATTACGGGTGTGCATATTTATTTTTTTGTTATCCTGGAATACTTCTAATTCTACTGTATGTAGGTTTTTCCTTGGAATTCATTAATTGTTTGCTCTGAACATGTGGGAAGATCTTTATTAATAAAATTGATTTTACGTACAAAGTGAAGCCACTTTTGCACATGTATTATATGGCTGGAATTCCTGGGTATGGGGTATTGTTGGTGAGAGGAAAGATGAGATTTTAGGGGGAATAAGAAAGTTTGGCTTTACGGGGTTTTCTTTGAGAATGTATTTTCCCCAGAAACTAGAAAATGGTTATTTAACCAAAAAATGTTGAGAGATTAGAATAGTATAGTCCACTCTTTCAACCCCATGTTGCCCCAAGTTTCTGCGTGATTTGTTATAATGACACTACAGATACTCAGATTAAACATGGATTTAAAGATTTATTAATGTATCTTTCTGGCCACTAGGTGGCATTAGTGGTTTAGGAAACCACCTTTGGTGCTTGATTATGATCAAAACCCAGATAGACCGTTTTCCTCATCACCAAGAGTTATTCTAGTCTCCCCTTCTCTGAATGTTTTTCTTTTCTTTCTAGAGTAGCGTGGACAGAGGGCTGATCTTAGGTCAGTTCTTGAGAGTTAGAGTTTATTCAGAGAGAATAGCGGAGTGAATGAGAAGAGTGTGAAGAATCAATAGTCTTGTGTTTTTCAGCCTCTTTGACCCTCCTTTAACAAAGGCTTCAGTTTACCAGTTAGTAAAGGCCAGCCCTTTTAAAAGAGCTTGCAAAAGAATGCCAGCAAGCAGGCAGACAGAAAATTCCTAACATAAAGGCCAAAAGAATGAAAATCCCATAGACACATCAGCCCAAGTCAGGAGACTGGTGGGGGTCACAGATCTGAGATCTTGTATTCTGTTCAGAGAGTAACTTCTGTTAGTGAGAGATCTCTCTAGCCTTGGATAATATATAAGTGAAAAGAGAAGTCTGTTCGTTTAATTCATTGGAGTTAGTGATATGTCATGGGGAAGGATATAATTTGGATCATAACATCACCAAAGCCTTGTTGATTCTCAGTACTATGAATTTGGACTCATACTGGTCTGCACAGTTGGGGCGGGGGTCTGTTTCCAGTCAGCTGTAGCTTGGTGGAAAGTAGTTAAGAGAGAATCCAGTACTGTCTTCTGTTAACTGTGATCTTGGGCAAATCACTTGACATCTCTGGCCTTTAATTTTCCTCCACTGAAAAATGGATGTCTTTGACTGAATCTCTGAGGTTTCCTCCAAATGAAAGAGCCTGTAGCTGTTTCTTGTGGATGACACCAAGATGTGTGTATTTCTCAGACCTTTGACTTAGTCCCTGGCAGATCTGTGCAAGCGGGATGTGCCCAGAGCCCTCATACTTCTGTTTCCTTGAGTGAATCTAAGCAAAGAGCCTCAATAACAGATTTAGAGATTCTTTTTCCTTTCTGGCTGAACTAACTGGACAAGAGGTTCAATTACAAAATGCTTTAGTTAGGGTTATGACATTCTCTTTTTAGGACTTAACTGTTGCATTTGCTTCTAATTAAGATTTTTGGATTGTGGAAACTGCCAAGGGAAAGGAGATCTTTTTTTTTTTTTCCCAAGAAGATCTTACTTTGTGTTACGTACTGAGCTAAGTGCTTTGTACTTAATCCTTACAAAATATATGTCATCTCTATTTTACTAATGAGGAAACTGAGACACTTAGGTTATTCTGCCCAAGGTTACATGGCTAATAACTTAGAGAAGTGCTTGGGGAACACAGAGGATGGCGGACTGCAGATGTCCTGGGGTTCATGAACATCTTCAGGGTTTGTTTTTTCCCTTTAAAAAAAAAACAAAGATAGGGTATCACCTCTAGCTGCCCTCTGCTTACTGCACCATTTTTATTCAAGGTTTTGCCTTCAAAGAAACCACAAGTTCCAGACACTATTCTGGCCTCTTTGTGTTATAGGATTGAACTGAACAGACAAAAATCCCTGCCTCTGTAGATCTTAAATTAATTCAGTCATTCTTTAATTTCAGAAAATCTTGTTATCCCTGGCCTTCTAGATGGACAGGCATTATTTGAAAGAGGTTTTCAACAAAAAGTTGAGTAGTATCTGAGAATATTTGCATCAGAGTTATCAAACAATGTTTAGAGTACATCACTGACAGAGTTTTGCCTGGATTCTTAATCAGTAAAGCAGGCATAAGTGAGGTTACTTTGGTTGAAGTGGGAATGAGTGGTCCTGGGGCTTCATGTTCTCATGGGCCACATTCCCCAGGATTTCTGAGGAGCTCTGAAGAACCTTTAGAACTCCATGGAATGTAGTTTGAAGAATCGCTTTTACAGTAGTAGGGTAAGGGAACTAAGAATTAGGATTTCAGGGTTTCTTTTGGCTGTTGTTTTCTTTCCCCCTATTCCTACTCATAGATTTAGTTCTCTGTTCAGACCTCATGAATGTCAAGATTTCATCAGTGCAGTGCTAACCACAGATCGCTTCCTACATTCACTAAGTAATATATATCACTAGTGTGCACCTGTTCAATTTTGTCATGTGATGTTAAGGAGAATCTTAGTATTTATTATTGTTAGTTTTTATGTATTTATTCTATTATTATTAAAAATGTGAAGGAGCCTTCCTTCCTGGAAGCACAACAAATACCACTGACCACATTACTCTCTTCCCTCCCTCTGCAGAGCTTTCGTATTGTCTCTCTCATTCTTTCCACCCTACCTCTGTCCCCCCCAAGGTCTGTTTGACTGGTGGGGGATCCTACCCTTTCCTTCTCAGAGCTTGGTGGCTCCCTGGGGGTTTCTAATGATGGTTGGGAGTTTCAAGGCAGTGCTGGGAGGAAGCAGCTGAGGGACATCCATTGCCACAGGGAGGGAGCTATACTCCAGCATCCAGTGGGGAAAGGAAATCACTTGAAGATACAGAGAAAATCCTTTCTCCAGTACTTTAGCATCTCTGCCTTAGTATTGTTATCTGGGAGGGTGGGGAAGAGGTTTTGACCAAGGCTTGTTTTTGCTGCTAAAGCTGTGTTTTATTATGATTTTATGAAGGCTTGGGAAAATGCCTGTCAGGAGTTCACAACAGTCTTCATGGATACCTTATTAGAAAAAATGTTTTGTTTATGAGGAAAGGGTGACTTGAGTATGTCTGTTTTCAGCACCATGGAGAGTTCAAGCTTTCTCATCTTGTTCCTTGCCTTGGTTTGGCGGAAGGGACATAGCTAAACCAATCCATAGAGCTCCCTGGTGTAGACCTTTCCTTTGGCATGGCCCAGTTTATCTGTCCAATCTCCAATTCTGATTGGTATGGATTGAGTGAGAGTCAGAAGCAGTCCTGAGTGTCCCCATCCTCCCTGGGTGTGTAAACCTCAGATTCACGTTGAAACTTATTCAGGGATTTGGTCAACCTGACAGGCATGTGAGTGAAATCCTGCCGTCTCTGCTCTATTGGTAACATCATTCACATTGTGATGCACTACCTTTTTAACAGCCCTTGAGAAAAACTCTGTCTGTCCCCTAGTCTTTTGCATCCAGACCCTTGAAGGGACTTAAAGTTGCTTTTTCATTCCTTGGGCTTGGCCTCTTTTTCTATGTCTGCATGGAGAAAAGCATCATTGCTCTGGCTTTCTGCCCAGTCTTGCTTTTGTATTTCTTTGATCTCATTGTTCAGAGGGTCTCAGAGAAACCCCAAGAGCCATGCCTTTGCATGTTTAAGCTATTGATGCTTTTGAAATAACAGAGCGTCGCCGTGTAAGAAGTGTATTAAAGGTCTATCTCAAGCAAATTTGGGTCAATAGGTGGCAGTAGTCACCTAGTCCCGAGGCCCTGACACCCCCTGAGCACAAGCACATTTGATGGCCATTATATTTAAGGTTGTGAGAAAGGAGGTCACATTGAAATAAAAATGAGGGGGAAAAAAGCAGTCCTTTTGATGGGATCCAGGAAATGCTGAAATGTACTGGATTATTTCTGTGGGGTTGTTGTATCTCAGCTGTGGAGGGCACTGGTAGGAAAAGGGGACCTCGGGTTAGGGGAGTACTGTGTGGCTACTAGGGCTTCTGAGAGCCGAAGTAAGACTGTGGTAAATGAGGACCAGTGCTGAAAGGATAGAGTCTAGGGTTGGGGGAGTAGAGAGAGGGAGAGAGGTGGAGGAGGGAGGGGCAGAGCTGTGTGAAGGGACCAGGGAAAGGGTGGGCTCTGATGGGGAGGACTGCGGTTAGAGGGGGAGGGGAGGCTGCTGCAATACTGAGCCTTTCTAATGGGGGAGGGAAGGGGGAGATATTGGTCTGTGCTGCAGCTGCATTGGCTCCCCTCCCCCACACTTCCCAAGGAGCCAGAGCAATGCTGGCAAATCTGTCTTCATGTATTTATTATTATTAAAAACGTGAAAGATCCTTCCTCCTTGGAAGCACAACAAATACCACTGATCACATTTCTCTCTCCCCTCCCTCTGCAGAGCTTTTGCGTTCTCTCTTTCTCATTCTTTCTACCCTACCCCCATTCCCCCAGGTCTGTTTGACTGGTGGGGGGACCCTTCCCTTTCCTTCTCAGAGCTTGGTGGCTCCCTGGGGGTTTCTAATGATGGTTGGGAGTTTCAAGGCAGTGCTGGGAGGAAGCAGCTGAGTGAGGGGCATCCATTGCCCCAGGGAGGGAGCTGTACTCCAGCATCCAGTGGGGAAAGGAAATCACTTGGAAATAAAGAGAAAATCCTTTCTCCAGCTAATGAACGAAGAAGCAGGCGCACGCATTCCTTTTGGCACCTGACATTCTTTCCTTCCATACCCTTCTCTTTTCTGCTGCCTGAATTCTGAGAGAGAAACCCCCTTGGAATGAAAAAAGCCAGGAGTCCTCTGTCTTTCCTCCCTTCCCTTCTTAAATCCCTCTCTTCCCAGGAGAGCTGTAGAGATTTATTCTTCTAGCTTGTATGTTGTGTTGCTGAGAGGTTGGAAGGGCAGAAGCTGGAACTTC